CACCCCGCACGGTACCTGGCTTCGCGCCGCACAGCCGGTCGGCCAGGGAGCGCGCGTCCCGCGCCACCAGCGAGAAGATGTCCTCCTCGTATTTCTCCAGGATGGCTTCGCACTGCGGGGAAAGCAACGGCACGTGTGGGTAGGTGCGCGCTCGCGGGGCGTCGCGGCAACATTGTAGCAGTTCGAAACCTGAAACAATGTTGCCGACGCGCAAGGCATCTATCTCCGCGCCCGATTAACCCCTTTCCCGGCGTGTCGACGGCATCAGGCTCCCGGGACTGAACTCCCCGAGGAGTCGCGTGGAAAGACGGGCGCGAGGACGTGGTATTTTGTTTCTCTGCCTTAAATCGGAACGTGGGAAATGGGAAGAAATGCGTCCCCTGTTTAAGGAGCTGAAAAGTCTTCGGGATTTTTTTTTTTTTTTTTAACGCACTTGAAAGAAGCCAGCTCCTGGCAATGGTTAAACCAGCTTCCTTCCGATGTAACATAATAATCCACTTTGTGGTTTTAAACCAGGACCCGGAGTGTGAAACAATTAAGCTTTCTCAGCAATCAGAAGACTTGCATCTTTAATTTCACCGTGGATAACACGCCTGACAGTTACCCCGGGGAAGTTTCTTTTCACACCGGTTAGGGATCCCTCCGCAAGTTCACTTCCCTGCCCCCCGAAACCTGGCTCTTCAGCGCAGGGGGAGCGCAGGTTTGTCCGCACACCTAAAAACCTTAAATTCTAACCGGAGGCTGTGATTAGAGAAACGCGAGGTTCCAGTTTTAGGAACTGCGACGCCACCGAGGGGCATTCGCTGGAGACTTGGAAATCATCTCCGGAGTGCATTAAGCAAGACCCTAAAAAATGTTACCTGGCATTTAAAAATATTTAAATTCCACTATACTATGTTCATTTAAAACCTGTGAAATACAAGCACACTAGCTCCACGCGATTTCTATCCCATAGACCTTCTAACCCCGAACACTGCCTTCACTTTTTAATTAAAATGGAATCTTCCAAAGTCAGCTAAAGCCTGGGTTTCGGGGTTTCAGCTCGCCTGACATTTGGGCCAAGGCGTGAATTTAATGCATTTTTTAAACAGGCTTCCCCGTCGCGTGGATTGTAAAGGGAAATATATTGCAACTGCCGTTGGCCAGGCACATCCGGGCAAGCGGGAGGCCAGCGTCCGCGCAAAATAAACACGATTGGGGAGGAAATTTGGCATTTAGCCGGCCACCACGCCTAAGCTTTTGTTTAACTTAGTTGGTGCTAAAACACTTGAATTAACTCAGGGACAAAGTTCTCCCTTCTGTGAAACCTGGGGGAGGGGGGGCGGGGGCAAGGCGCGTCCGGCTCCCTCGCCGGTTGGCCTTAAATATTTGAAAACGACGTTCATTTTAATTTGGATTTGAACCTGTGAGAGACCTCCCTCCGCCGGAGACCCCTCCCGAGTCCCCCCAGGAGACAAGCAACGTGCAAAATGTGCCTTAAAGTCGCTGGGATTTGTAGCAGCGCTTTCTAGAAAATACCACCGAACTGTGTCCGCTGAGGGGAAAGAACAGCCCCTCCCGCGTCTCCAAAGGCACGTCGCTAAACGCGTGGTCCCCCCGGGAACCAGCAGGGCAGCGAAGCAAGCAGATAGCATTCTAAGGCTCAATGTCCCGAAACTCAACAACAACGGAAACAAACAGCAAAAACATAAAAATAAATAAAAATAAAGCCAGAGACCTGCTCAGGGAGCACAGGGACCCGCCTGGGGAGAGAGCTTACCGCGAACTTCAAAGGCTTGTAGGCCTCGGAGTAAAACGAGAATTTCTTAAATTCGTTGTATATTTTGTCTCCTTTCCTCGGAGCGAAGCGCTTGAAGGTCCTCTCCTTGGTCGCGGGGTCCTGCTCCAGCCTGTAGTCATTCATCCGCTGGCACACCCTGTCCAGGAGGTCGGTCAGGAAGGCCTCGGACTGGGCCAGGGGGACCTGTCAGGAAAACGCGGGGAGGAACCTCGTCTTAGCGGGAATGTATTTAGAAGAAGCAGGGCTGGATGCGCAGGGGACCCCCCTCCCTCCCCGCGCGCGCACCCCCCCCCAGGAACGGGGACACGCGCTCGGTTCCTAAAATGGCAAGGTGCGCGGGATTGTCTTCTTTACGCGATGGAAGGCTGGCTTTTAAAAAGTGCGTATGTTTGCAAGTGGACAGGAAAAGACATATTCGAACTCGAGAGCAGAGTTAGATACTGTGTAAAAGTCACTGGACACGGAGAACAGGGCAGTAAGCGAGGAAACGGGCGGTTACCCTCCATCCACTCGGCGGAGATGGGGGGGGCGGGGGAGACAGGAGAGGAAGGAGAGGCGAGCTGGAGAGAGGCTCCAGACCTCTCCATCAGTTCGGAAGAACTTAGCCCAACACCCAAGCTCGCCTTCGCCGGCCCCTCCCCCACCCCCGCACCGCGCAGTGGCCCCCGCGTGGCGTGGAGCGGGGCACACGCGGAGCCTCCCGTGCCCCCGTCGCCGGCGCGGCTGCCCTGCGAACAGCTGGTGCCCGTCGCCATGCGCCCCTCTCCCTCCGGAATCCAGCGAGGATTCGGAGGACCCTGTGGCCACCACCTCCGCCCCGCGCGGGGGTCAAAGAGCACCCCTCGCCCTTGNAAGGAAAAAAAAAAAAAAAAAAAACACAAAACAAAAAAAACTTGGGGGCCCGTCTAGACGGGTCAAGGTGCAGGGGGCTGGTCCCCCGCTCCTTCCGGAAGGGGGCGGGGACCCGCCAAGGGCGCCCGGACGCGGCGCGGCGCGGCCTCCGCGGGCTCCTTCCCTCTCCACCCTCCGCTGATCAAAGTAGGAAGTTTGCATGACAACCGCGGTGAAAGGGGCTGAATCACAAACGGTCTCGATTTCGGGGATGTTGCTCTCGGCGGCCCCCATTGTCCCCTTTCAGGCGCAGTGTGAACCCTTCCGGTGCCGGCGACCGCGCGGCTTTCACAGGCGCGCTCCGGGCGCACAAAGGGTCT